TTTTTTTTTTTTTCCTCTTCTTTCTTCCTCTAGTCAAGTTCTGATCATCCAGCCATTGAAGCCAGGTCAAATGGGTACTATGTGCAAGTATGGGTGTTCTTGTGCATCTCCTCTCACTTCATATTGACTGGATGCTTCAGGATTTATTGTTTCTTGTATCTAATAGCCCTATTGAACTTAGAAAAATTTGGTCATTTAGAACAAAATTTCTGATTTGGGCCATTAAAAGAGAGGAGAGACAGCTCTGTTGAAGACAGTATAAGGAGAGCATGAATTCCAAACAGTTAATTCTGGTTTGATTCTCTGCTAAGACATTGTATTTCCATTTCCCACATATACTGAAGCAGAATCTATATTTTAAGAAGATTACCACGTGATTTAACAGAATCACCAGGTGATTCTTAGAGAGCTTGTGAAAACGTAGATTCTGATGTAGTATATTTATGGTGGAAATGCAAAGCCTCAGCAGATGGATGAACCAGAATGAACCAGTTCAGAGCCCTAAAGGAAAGGGAGACCAAATGATTTCATGTGCCTCATATGGAAGTTGTCAAAGACTTCGTTTTTCTTGGATCAACCATTAACACTCAGGGAAGCAGTAGCCAAGAAATCAAACAACATATTTCATTAGGCAAATCTGCGGCACAAGACCTTTTTAAAGTGTTGAAGAGCAAAGATGTCAGCTTGAGGGCTAAAGTACGCCTGACCCATGCTTTGGTATTTTCAATAACTTCATATGCATGCAAAAGTTGGACAGTGAATAAGGAAGATCATAGAAGAATTGATGCATATGAGTTATGGTGTTGGAGGAGAATATTGAAAGTACCATGGACTGCCAAAAGAACAAACAGATCTGTGTTGGAAGAAGTACAGCCAGAGTGCTTCTTGGAGGCCATGATGGCCAGACTTCGTTTCTCATGCTTCGGACATATCATCAGGAGGGGCCAGGGATATCATATTTGGTAAGGTGGAGAGTCAGAGAAAAAGAGGAACATCCCCAATGAGATGGATTGGCAAAGTGGCAGCATCAATGGGCTCAAGTATGGCAACAATTGTTAGGTTAGCCCAGGACCGGGTAGTGTTTCGTTCTGTTGTGCAGAGACAGGGTCACTATGAGTCGTTATTGACTTGACACATGTTGTTGTTGTTGTTAAGTGCCGTCGAGTCGGTTCAAATACGGCCTGTGGGCCAGACATTCCCCACCCCTGCAGTGTATACAGTTTCCAAGGAGTGACTGGTGGGTTTGAACCGCCAACCAGCGCTTATCCTACAGCACTGCACCTGGACTTCTCAATCTTAATAGTATAATCAACGTTTTATAAATAACTATTGGTGTTATCAGTGTCCATAGTACTTTTTTTTTATTGTTGTAGCTTATTTAGTCACAAGAAAAAACCTATGTAAATAAGTAGTTTTAGAAATAGACAAAATCATCCTTGTATTCGCCCAGTATGTCCTCTTTTTTTTGTGTGTGTGTGAATTCTGTGTTAGTTTACATGGGAGAACATTATCTTTACATTCATTCTATTGTATTTCATTTCATTGCAATGATTACAAACCTCTGCATGCATCATCAAAAAACCAATGGGTACACCCCACATGCCTGTCCCCTGGCCGCCAGCACACAGCTCCTCTCCCTCCCTGAGTCCAGAGTCCCCAGCCGCTCC